CTCAATTGTATCCCAATTTTTTTTTTTTGGTTCTAATTTTATCCAGATCCTCTAGTAAACAACCAATTGCAGATACAAAGGCTTCTGCAGCTCAGGCATGAATTGAAGCTTTAATGGCCATTGAGGAGCTACTAATAAAGACTGAAATTGCTGAGGGAGATGAGAATAAAAGAGGAGGCATATAGAACAGAAAGGTCACTTTTGGCAAAGAGAATGGTAGAGAGGGAATTAGTAAACTGGAGAAAGAAAAAGTGAGAAAATGATAGAGGCAGAAAGAATGAGATTAACCTTTATGTCTTTTGATCTCTGAAACATCATTAGAGGGTCGGCTGCATGAGTATTTCTGCTGTCAGTACAAATCCAAGGAACCAAAATAAGTCACTAGAAAAAACAGCTCCCCGACCAACAGCGAAGCAGGCATTGTAGATGGTAAGAGGGCAACATATAAGCTGGGTACAAAACATCAAAATTAAAATCAAAGGCAATTCTGCTTGAATGTTTCAAAGGCAGTGAGTGCAGAAACTAGTAAGAGTGGAATTGTCAAGTTTCATGGTTTATCGCAGGTAGATCATGATCAACATCAACAAAAGCAAGGGCCTGACATACAAACATCCACAGCTTTACAACAAGAACCATCATGGTCGGCATCAAATTGAAGGTTTCACAGTAATGACTATAATTCTGTATCCTATAATTCTATAAATTCAATGAAAACATTAGTTCATGCTCGTTTATCTTCAGTGTCAAATTTTGATCACTTTCAGAGAAATTCACACTCGAAATGCAGAGAAATTGTCCATTCTGTGCATAGATTACATAAAAAGATATATTTCACCACCAAAGAGATCCATGCAACCTCATCCAGTGATGGTGAGTGTAGAGGAGAAAAGTTTACTAGTAATAAACAAAACTTATGCATTGATAAACATGGCATTTAACATTACATTAACTTACATTAACTGAAGCACTGACGCTTCAAACAAGCAGAGAACAAATTTATTGAGCTTCTACGGTATCATCTCAAGCACATTCAAAGCAAAGGATAAACAAGATAAAAGAAAGAAAGAAAACCAATTGGAATTGTTAACAACATTCAAGCTAACACATAAGAAAGCAAATAAGGGTAAACCAGGAAGACCAAGCTATCTCTTTCAATAACAAACAGACAGAAAGATCAAAGTTACTGAGACACCATTACCAAAATTGTTCCCCTTTTGTCATAGACTCATTATGGTTCCAATGTTCTGATCTGTTGCTTAACGTCATTGGTATGCAACTGTGCCAAGGGCTCAGATAAGAGTGCTGTAGGGACTTTGTTCATGGTTTGATAATGAGAGGGCGATGTTGGTGGTGGAGGCTGAGATTTGTATATTAGGATGCGAGCAGGGTCATCATCAGGTTCATTGTTGTAATTTGTTGACTCACCACTAGCAACTGCAAATGATTGAGGTTGGTGATGAATTTGAGAAGGGATAGGATCCTGTTCAGTCTTCCTATAACTCACATGAACTATTTGGTTTGCTGTTGGGACATTTCTGTGTGCTTGTGAGGTTAACTCAGGTACAGGTGGAGGTGTGACTCCAACCTCCTTCAAAACCAGCTGGGGAGGGATTCCTGGAGCATTTGAATGCATTTGAGGCTGAGCAGAGGCAAATGATGAATGAACCAGACCACATTGCACAGGGTAATTGTATTGTTGAGACTGTGGAACAGGCAAATAGTACAGTGGGCAAGGCTGATTGGATTGATAATGGGACTGTTGCTGCTGGATGACTGGATGATACACCGGAATATAAGATGTCATTGGCAGTACACCAGTTGGGTTTTGGGGACCATAATGACTACTAGCATGAACAATCTGCACATTTTGTTGCTGAGGCAGATTCAATTGTGGATTTGCAGCATACCCACAAAATTGAACTGATGGATGTAAATGGATGCCAAAGGGAAGATCAGGAATTTTACTGTCTGATTCATATGGGTTAGCAGATATCTTACTCTCCATTGCAGCAATTGGGACAACTGATTCTTGATGACTAGTTCCAGTCTGAGCACAAGACATGTAACTTGTAGCATTGCTAATGCTATCACTGCAGTTCAATAAAAAAAAAGAAAAGAAAAAGAAAGCCCTCAATCAATCACATAACAACCACCCTTGGCATTACAACACAAAAGAAGAGAAAACAGAGTAAAAATGCCAACCAAACCTCACAACTCTCTCAAACGCAACCATCACAAGATTATAGTTTTCTCTAAACTAAAAATCAAACACCATTTCAAATACTATGCCCTAGAATTCCAGTGACAAGGAAAAAGGACTGCTAAACAAATATAAAGTATAATAATATCCCAAAACTGACCAAAAAAAAAAAAAATCAAGAATTGTACCTTGCAATTGATTCTGGTAAAGGCAATTTGGGTTTACAATCCTGGAACTGCAGCCCATTCTCCTCACCAGGACCCTTGACTGGGGGCAAGTTCGAGAAAGAAACAGTGGACGAAGTAGACCCAAAAGAAGAACTCGTCTCCAATACAATAGATTCCTGCCCACAGAGACTGTTCCCTTCACCCTGGCCACTCCCACCACCCTCAGCCCCGAAGCCTGCCACCCCATTCTCTCCCTTCTGCACTATTTTCGCAGTTCTCAATGCATCGACAAACCAACTCTCCGTCTTCGGGTGATTCAACTCGCTCCTGCTGGACTGGACCTGACTCAACTCAGTCCGAGTCAACTCAGCACCGGCCAGCACCAAGCCAAGAACGCCTTCGTTTCCCTCTCGCCGGTGCATGATTGGTTGCTCTGACTCTGAAAGATTGGACTCGGTGCAAACCATCGGACAGGGCTTGACGGGGAAGAGGAACAACCGGATGCGAGAAGGATCAGGCAAGGCGGAAAGGCGTTCGAGTTCCTCTAGCATGATTTGGAGATCATCCTCGTTAGCGATAGAGATAAGGGCATCAAG